GAAAAGATACGTGAATTTAGAGACAATTCTATAACCAATGTTCCAGCGATGTGTAAATATTTCATTCAAAATGATCTGCTACCAGAAATTTTAGCCAAATATCCCCAGTTTGCTAACTGTAGGTAGTAACTAAGTGATTGTAACCTATCCACTGCTGCCCACTGGATGGGGGGCGGTGTGCAGGACAAACATATCAATTGTGACACTAGCTCTCCACATATGTCAGTTGCTTAATTTAGAACCTGTACTTGAGGTCGATCTCAAACCCATTGTTGATGTGAAGACTTATACTAAATTTTGTAACTAGCTCATCAAGATTGTAACTTGCTTAGCTAAATGAATTGTGGGGTTCAGTCCCTGAGCCCATTATGTGCCTCTGTAACCCTTTCCACTACCGCCCACAAGATGGGTATGGGGGGCATAATAAATGAACTAAACTAAAAAAAAAACTAACCTGTTGGGTTATTTGTGGACCTGCGTAAAGCTTTTGACACTGTCAACCACCAAAACCTTCTTCTTAAATTACATCATTATGGAGTCAGAGGACACTCCCTGCAATACCTCAAATCTTACCTTACTGACAGGCTCCAGTATGTTTCTGTGAATAATTCAATTTCTCCCACCCTACCCATCAACATTGGTGTTCCTCAGGGCAGCATACTTGGCCCTCTCCTCTTTCTCATCTACATTAACGACCTTCCAAATGCCTCCCAACATCTCAAACCAATTCTATTTGCTGACGACACAACCTTCATTTACTCCAGTCCTGACCCCATTGCTCTAAATGCCACAGTAAATACTGAGCTAAATAAAGTCCATCTCTGGTTAACTGCCAACAAACTCACCCTTAACATTGACAAAACTTTCTATATTTTGTTTGGCAATAAATCCTCTAATCAAATAAATCTCAGGAAAAACAATACCCAAATTTGTAACAAAGTAGATGGCAAATTCCTTGGCGTTCTCATTAACCACAAGCTGAATTTCCAGGAACACATTCTAAATATATCAAAAAGAGTTTCAAAAACTGTTGGCATTCTGTCTAAAATCAGATATTATGTACCCCGCCCTGCCCTGGTGACACTATTACTCTCTCATCTATCCTTATCTCAACTATGGTATTTGTGCTTGGGGTTCTACTACCCAAAATCACTTACGTCCTCTAATTACTCAACACAAAGCTGCTATTAGGACAATATCCAACTCAGGCCCCAGACATCACTCGGTACCCCTACTCAAATCTCTGAATATGTTAGAATATGTCACTGCACATCCTCTCATGTGTATTTTATATATATAAAACGCTGAACTGTAATGCCAATCATGACCTTAAAAGCTTCCTAAAAGGCTGTAACAGAACCCATGACCACCACACCAGAAACAAATACCTCTTTGATATTCCTAGAGTACGACTTAATAAACCAGAAATGCTCTAGAAATCAAGGGACCCAGAATGTGGAATGACCTTCCCAACCATGTTAAAGACTGTACCTCTCTCAGCCAGTTTAAGATAAAAACTTAGCACTACCTAATTAACTCCATGTAACCTACCTCACCCCTACAATGTCAACCCATGTCTACAAACAAAGCTGTTTGTCAACCAAATTGTATATTTGCTATTTTTTCTGCCATGTTCCCCCCCCCCCCCTTTTTCCATTCTTTTCTTATTTTTTCTCAACACATTTTATACTTTAAACTCAATTAGTATTAAGTTTTAGTCTTAGTGTTTTTCCTGCCCGAAACGCTTTGCGTCATAGTGGCTTTAGGCATTGTATGTACTAACTCTACCTATAAATCCATCAATATTTGTATTACACCTTGTATGTATGTACTTTACCTGAATAAATATTTAATTTTTTTATAGCTTGGTGGGTGGTCCTAGAGCATGGTGGTTGGCCCTAGTGCATGGTGGGTGGTCCTAGAGCATGGTGGTTGGCCCTAGTGCATGGTGGGTGGTCCTAGTGCATGGTGGGTGGTCCTAGAGCATGGTGGTTGGCCCTAGTGCATGGTGGGTGGTCCTAGAGCATGGTGAGTGGTCCTAGAGCATGGTGGGTGGTCCTAGAGCATGGTGGTTGGCCCTAGTGCATGGTGGGTGGTCCTAGAGCATGGTGGTTGGCCCTAGTGCATGGTGGGTGGTCCTACAGCATGGTGAGTGGTCCTAGAGCATGGTGGGTGGTCCTAGAGCATGGTGGTTGGCCCTAGTGCATGGTGGGTGGTCCTACAGCATGGTGAGTGGTCCTAGAGCATGGTGGGTGGTCCTAGAGCATGGTGGTTGGCCCTAGTGCATGGTGGGTGGTCCTACAGCATGGTGAGTGGTCCTAGAGCATGGTGGGTGGTCCTAGAGCATGGTGGGTGGTCCTAGAGCATGGTGAGTGGTCCTAGAGCATGGTGGGTGGTCCTAGAGCATGGTGGGTGGTCCTAGACCATGGTGGGTGGTCCTAGAGCATGGTGGGTGGTCCTAGAGCATGGTGGGTGGACCTAGACCATGGTGGGTGGTCCTAGACCATGGTGGGTGGTCCTAGACCATGGTGGGTGGTCCTAGAGCATGGTGAGTGGTCCTAGAGCATGGTGGGTGGTCCTAGAGCATGGTGGGGGGTCCTAGTGCATGGTGGGTGGTCCTAGACCATGGTGGGTGGTCCTAGACCATGGTGGGTGGTCCTAGAGCATGATGGGTGGTCCTAGACCATGGCGGGTGGTCCTAGAGCATGGTGGGTGGTCCTAGACCATGGTGGGTGGTCCTAGACCATGGTGGGTGGTCCTAGAGCATGATGGGTGGTCCTAGACCATGGTGGGTGGTCCTAGACCATGATGGGTGATCCTAGAGCATGGTGGGGGGTCCTAGTGCATGGTGGATGGTCCTAGACCATGGTGGGTGGTCCTAGACCATGGTGGGTGGTCCTAGAGCATGATGGGTGGTCCTAGACCATGGTGGGTGGTCCTAGACCATGATGGGTGGTCCTAGAGCATGGTGAGTGGTCCTAGAGCATGGTGGGTGGTCCTAGAGCATGGTGGGGGGTCCTAGTGCATGGTGGGTGGTCCTAGACCATGGTGGGTGGTCCTAGACCATGGTGGGTGGTCCTAGAGCATGATGGGTGGTCCTAGACCATGGTGGGTGGTCCTAGACCATGGTGGGTGGTCCTAGAGCATGATGGGTGGTCCTAGACCATGGTGGGTGGTCCTAGACCATGGTGGGTGGTCCTAGACCATGGTGGGTGGTCCTAGAGCATGGTGGGTGGTCCTAGAGCATGGTGGGGGGTCCTAGAGCATGGTGGGGGGTCCTAGTGGTGGGGGTCCTAGTGCATGGTGGGTGGTCCTAGACCATGGTGGGTGGTCCTAGAGCATGATGGGTGGTCCTAGACCATGATGGGTGGTCCTAGACCATGGTGGGTGGTCCTAGACCATGATGGGTGGTCCTAGAGCATGATAGGTGGTCCTAGACCTTGGTGGATGGTCCTAGACCATGATGGGTGGTCCTAGACCATGGTGGATGGTCCTAGACCATGGTGGGTGGTCCTAGACCATGATGGGTGGTCCTAGACCATGGTGGATGGTCCTAGACCATGGTGGGTGGTCCTAGACCATGATGGGTGGTCCTAGACCATGGTGGGTGGTCCTAGACCATGATGGGTGGTCCTAGAGCATGATAGGTGGTCCTAGACCATGGTGGATGGTCCTAGACCATGATGGGTGGTCCTAGACCATGTTGGATGGTCCTAGACCATGATGGGTGGTCCTAGAGCATGGAGGGTGGTCCTAGACCCTGATGGGTGGTCCTAGACCATGGTGGGTGGCCCTAGAGCATGGTGGGTGGTCCTAGACCATGGTGGGTGGTCCTAGAGCATGGTGGGTGGTCCTAGACCATGGTGGGTGGTCCTAGAGCATGGTGGGTGGTCCTAGAGCATGGTGGGTGGTCCTAGAGCATGGTGGGTGGACCTAGACCATGGTGGGTGGTCCTAGACCATGATGGGTGGTCCTAGACCATGGTGGGTGGTCCTAGACCATGATGGGTGGTCCTAGAGCATGATAGGTGGTCCTAGACCATGGTGGATGGTCCTAGACCATGATGGGTGGTCCTAGACCATGGTGGATGGTCCTAGACCATGATGGGTGGTCCTAGAGCATGGTGGGTGGTCCTAGACCCTGATGGGTGGTCCTAGACCATGGTGGGTGGCCCTAGAGCATGGTGGGTGGTCCTAGACCATGGTGGGTGGTCCTAGAGCATGGTGGGTGGTCCTAGACCATGGTGGGTGGTCCTAGAGCATGGTGGGTGGTCCTAGAGCATGGTGGGTGGTCCTAGAGCATGGTGGGTGGACCTAGACCATGGTGGGTGGTCCTAGACCATGGTGGGTGGTCCTAGAGCATGGTGGGTGGTCCTAGAGCATGGTGGGTGGACCTAGACCATGGTGGGTGGTCCTAGACCATGGTGGGTGGTCCTAGACCATGGTGGGTGGTCCTAGAGCATGGTGGGTGGTCCTAGAGCATGGTGGGTGGTCCTAGACCATGGTGGGTGGTCCTAGACCATGGTGGGTGGTCCTAGACCATGGTGGATGGTCCTAGACCATGATGGGTGGTCCTAGAGCATGGTGGGTGGTCCTAGACCCTGATGGGTGGTCCTAGACCATGGTGGGTGGCCCTAGAGCATGGTGGGTGGTCCTAGACCATGGTGGGTGGTCCTAGACCATGGTGGGTGGTCCTAGAGCATGGTGGGTGGTCCTAGAGCATGGTGGGTGGACCTAGACCATGGTGGGTGGTCCTAGACCATGGTGGGTGGTCCTAGACCATGGTGGGTGGTCCTAGACCATGGTGGGTGGTCCTAGAGCATGGTGGGTGGTCCTAGAGCATGGTGGGTGGTCCTAGAGCATGGTGGGTGGGAATTCCGTTGGGTACATGGTACCTGTCGCTTGAACTAAGTGTTTGTGTGCGATACCAATTTTTATATCATGATAGCATTGTGAGATATCATATCATAAAAAAGCGTATCATTGGGTTTTCCTGCCTCAAGGTTAACGCGAGTGAAAATGCGAGGGTTCGATTCCAGGTTGGTTATTGTGTGGTCGTCGGTCACTGTGAGAGGTAAGTCTGCTCCCATCCACCTCCTGAGCTCTGTAACGATGACTGTAACTGCTCGCCTCTGATTTCTAGACATTGTCTGTTAGTTCGGGAACACGCAGTGTTAGTTTAGTTCATTTATTATGCCCCCCATACCCATCTTGTGGGCGGTAGTGGAAAGGGTTACAGAGGCACATAATGGGCTCAGGGACTGAACCCCACAATTCATTTAGCTAAGCAAGTTACAATCGTGATGAGCTAGTTACAAAATTCAATATAAGTCATCACATCAACAATGGGTTCGAGATCGACCTCAAGTACAGGTTCTAAATTAAGCAACTGACATATGTGGAGAGCTAGTGTCACAATTGATATGTTTGTCCTGCACACCGCCCCCCATCCAGTGGGCAGCGGTGGATAGGTTACACCGCCCCCCATCCAGTGGGCAGCGGTGGATAGGTTACACCGCCCCCCATCCAGTGGGCAGCGGTGGATAGGTTACAATCACTCAGTTACTACCTACAGTTAGCAAACTGGGGATATTTGGCTAAAATTTCTGGTAGCAGATCATTTTGAATGAAATATTTACACATCGTTGGAACATTGGCTATAGAATTGTCTCTAAATTCACGTATCTTTTCGCACTCCATCACATAGTGACAGAGGGTGTGCGAATAATTTTGTTGACACAGTTTACATTTGGTCAGGTCTACATCAGCAGATAATGAGAATTCCCAGAGATACTTGTAACCGAGCAGTAGTAACATCTAGAAGTCTGCTGATTTTATTGGATGATCCATAGATGTGTGGCGAAACAATGGGCAGAGTTTCTTTCACTCTATGCCCCTATTACCTAGCAGTAAAATAGGTACCTGGGTGTTAGTCAGCTATCACGGGCTGCTTCCTCGGGGTGGAGGCCTGGTCGAGGACCGGGCCGCGGGGATACTAAAAAGCCCCGAAATCATCTCAAGATAACCTCCTCTTGCATGATAGTATGATGATAGATGGAATTACTGGTGTCAATTTCACTTTGCCTCAGATCTACAAGATCTTGTTGAAGTTCTCGGTGTACTGCTGCTCTCAAATTGCTCATTGACAATCCAAGGTTACACTCAACGGCTCCTTTAAAGGCAGATTCTTTGGCTAACTTATCAGCTCTATCATGCATTCGGAGGCCAACATGAGATGGAGACCACATGAAATGGACTCTGTTATCATCCTTAATAATTTTGTTGTATTTGTGTCTAGCTTCGGACACGAGCATGTTACAGTTATGTCTTAAAGAGTTGAGAGCATTTAATTAATTTATTTTATTTATTTATTTATTTATTTATATACAAGAAGGTACATTGAGGGTTAACAGAGAATATAGAAATTAAGTTGATTTTACATTCTTGTAAAGCCACTAGCACGCATAGCGTTTCGGGCAAGTCCTTAAACTAACAGAAAATTTTTAGATAATTAACAGTAAAATTGACAAAAAAATTTACAGGTACTTTATAGCTTTACATTACAGGTACAGATAATTTACGTAGATTAATTATAGTAAGATTGACAAAAAATGTTTACAGGTCCATTGTAAGAAATTTTAACACAAGCAAATTAAAATATTACACAATAATAACAATACACAATAATGAACAAGGATTACTAGGTACATGAGGATAACATTTCAGGGTTATACATTGGTTCACTGAAGCACAATATGAGGATCATGTCAAGGAATAATGCAGTATTCCCTCTCCAAATATAACTTCTTTTATTCTTCCTTCAAATAGACAGTACGTTTTAATACTAAATGTAATAAGTACATTCCTAACTGTCTGCTTAATACATAAACATACCTAATTATGCCCTTACATTTATCTTCCTATATGTTCACCTAATTTTGTATTAATATACTTTAAATTTTTAAGTTAAAGTTTTCATGTTTAATTGTTTATACACAAGTTTTCAATATAAAGAATTTGCTTTTCAGTTTTATAAAACAAAAGAGATTTTATACAAAATATGAAAATACACTGAGTTTCTTTATAATTTATTGAAAGACTTTAGTTTTGTTTTATAAAATTGTAATATCAATATAGTCATATATTTAGTAGTAATAGTAATAAGCAATAAATGCTATGCTATACTTTTTGCCTTAAAATTGCACTGTATCTATTGCTACCCAATCTCCCAACCTTTATGTTCCCAATTTGAACATCTTTACCATTGTGACCATTGCTGTTTTCTTATATGTGCTGCCAATCTGCTGTATGGTGTCTATTAATCTTGTTTAAATTACTAATCAAGCTGTCAATGTAATCAATCAGAGCTTTAATATAACAATGTGCTTTAATATACTTACTTATCTCTCTCATCTCATTTTTCTCTTGCAATGTATCTTTATTATTTATCAATTCTGATAGAAATTACCTACTTAAAATTATCTGCTAGATTAAGGACCTGCCCGAAACGCTGCGCGTACTAGTGGCTTTACAAGAGTGTAAATACTGTACTATCCAATGTATTCTCACAAACCCAATGTACCTTCTTGTATATATATAAATAAATAAATAAATAAATAAATATTTACATGCTTGTTCTCCTACACTCTCAAGGTCGTCTGGGGTCGTGGTTTTCTATACAGCTTTTCAGGTAAACTTTAATATTCACAATATTTTGGTGCGATGCTGGCGATTAAGTGTATTTATGTACTATGCCGATAGTCAGGAATGTACTTATTACATTTAGTATTAAAACGTACTGTCTATTCGGAGGATGGGCTGGCACTTCCAGCTGCACCTGTGGGGCGCTGTAGGGAACCATCAATGTATATGATTTAAGAGAGAATGAACTATGGACAGAGCATCAATATGGCTTAAGGCGTTAAGCGATACATCTAACATGTATTACTAACTATCCACATCTAACATTATTACTAACTATCCACATCTAACATGTATTACTAACCATCCACATCTAACATGTATTACTAACTATCCACATCTAACATGTATTACTAACTATCCAAATCTAACATGTATTACTAACTATCCACATCTAACATGCATTACTAACCATCCACATCTAACATGTATCACCAAATCTATATCTTATAAAATTCTCAATATAATTTATCCTTTATAGCCTAGCGCTCTGTAGTTAATCATAATTGTTCTTGTAATTCTCTCACCATCAACTACTCTTAAGGCATCTCTATGGTCAACAAATATATCTCATCATCATCACAGTCATATATCAACACTTTAACAACACTCTTAATAATAATGTCACTGAGGGCACAAGAATCAATGATGTAACACTGTAAAAGTGTTTGGTTTAGTTTAATACATACATAGAGTACACGAGTCACAGACAGGGATCTGAGAGGCGCCAGTTGTCTGCCTGAGATCTCACACCTCTAAGCGTTAATGACCCCAAGACCCCAAGTCCACCTCAGGTACACACCTCTTGGTGAGTGCTCAGGTACACACCTCTTGGTGAGTGCTCAGGTACACACCTCTTGGTGAGTGCTCAGGTACACACCTCTTGGTGAGTGCTCAGGTACACACCTCTTGGTGAGTGCTCAGGTACACACCTCTTGGTGAGTGCTCAGGTACACACCTCTTGGTGAGTGCTCAGGTACACACCTCTTGGTGAGTGCTCAGGTACACACCTCTTGGTGAGTGCTCAGGTACACACCTCTTGGTGAGTGCTCAGGTACACACCTCTTGGTGAGTGCTCAGGTACACACCTCTTGGTGAGTGCTCAGGTACACTCCTCTTGGTGAATGCTCAGGTACACACCTCTTGGTGAGTGCTCAGGTACACACCTCTTGGTGAGTGCTCAGGTACACTCCTCTTGGTGAGTGCTCAGGTACACACCTCTTGGTGAGTGCTCAGGTACACACCTCTTGGTGAGTGCTCAGGTACACTCCTCTTGGTGAGTGCTCAGGTACACACCTCTTGGTGAGTGCTCAGGTACACACCTATTGGTGAGTGCTCAGGTACACTCCTCTTGGTGAGTGCTCAGGTACACACCTCTTGGTGAGTGCTCAGGTACACACCTCTTGGTGAGTGCTCAGGTACACACCTCTTGGTGAGTGCTCAGGTACACACCTCTTGGTGAGTGCTCAGGTACACACCTCTTGGTGAGTGCTCAGGTACACACCTCTTGGTGAGTGCTCAGGTACACACCTCTTGGTGAGTGCTCAGGTACACACCTCTTGGTGAGTGCTCAGGTACACACCTCTTGGTGAGTGCTCAGGTACACACCTCTTGGTGAGTGCTCAGGTACACACCTCTTGGTGAGTGCTCAGGTACACTCCTCTTGGTGAGTGCTCAGGTACACACCTCTTGGTGAGTGCTCAGGTACACACCTCTTGGTGAGTGCTCAGGTACACACCTCTTGGTGAGTGCTCAGGTACACACCTCTTGGTGAGTGCTCAGGTACACACCTCTTGGTGAGTGCTCAGGTACACACCTCTTGGTGAGTGCTCAGGTACACTCCTCTTGGTGAGTGCTCAGGTACACACCTCTTGGTGAGTGCTCAGGTACACACCTCTTGGTGAGTGCTCAGGTACACTCCTCTTGGTGAGTGCTCAGGTACACACCTCTTGGTGAGTGCTCAGGTACACACCTCTTGGTGAGTGCTCAGGTACACTCCTCTTGGTGAGTGCTCAGGTACACACCTCTTGGTGACTGCTGAGGTACACACCTCTTGGTGAGTGCTCAGGTACACACCTCTTGGTGAGTGCTCAGGTACACACCTCTTGGTGACTGCTGAGGTACACACCTCTTGGTGAGTGCTCAGGTACACACCTCTTGGTGAGTGCTCAGGTACACACCTCTTGGTGAGTGCTCAGGTACACTCCTCTTGGTGAGTGCTCAGGTACACACCTCTTGGTGAGTGCTCAGGTACACACCTCTTGGTGAGTGCTCAGGTGCACACCTCTTGGTGAGTGCTCAGGTACACACCTCTTGGTGAGTGCTCAGGTACACTCCTCTTGGTGAGTGCTCAGGTACACACCTCTTGGTGAGTGCTCAGGTACACACCTCTTGGTGAGTGCTCAGGTGCACACCTCTTGGTGAGTGCTCAGGTACACTTCTCTTGGTGAGTGCTCAGGTACACTTCTCTTGGTGAGTGCTCAGGTACACTCCTCTTGGTGAGTGCTCAGGTACACTCCTCTTGGTGAGTGCTCAGGTACACACCTCTTGGTGAGTGCTCAGGTACACACACACCTCTTGGTGAGTGCTCAGGTACACTCCTCTTGGTGAGTGCTCAGGTACACTCCTCTTGGTGAGTGCTCAGGTACACTCCTCTTGGTGAGTGCTCAGGTACACTACTCTTGGTGAGTGCTCAGGTACACACACACCTCTTGGTGAGTGCTCAGGTACACTCCTCTTGGTGAGTGCTCAGGTACACTCCTCTTGGTGAGTGCTCAGGTACACACCTCTTGGTGAGTGCTCAGGTACACACCTCTTGGTGAGTGCTCAGGTACACACCTCTTGGTGAGTGCTCAGGTACACTCCTCTTGGTGAGTGCTCAGGTACACACCTCTTGGTGAGTGCTCAGGTACACCCCTCTTGGTGAGTGCTCAGGTACACACCTCTTGGTGAGTGCTCAGGTACACACCTCTTGGTGAGTGCTCAGGTACACACCTCTTGGTGAGTGCTCAGGTACACTCCTCTTGGTGAGTGCTCAGGTACACACCTCTTGGTGAGTGCTCAGGTACACTCCTCTTGGTGAGTGCTCAGGTACACACCTCTTGGTGAGTGCTCAGGTACACCCCTCTTGGTGAGTGCTCAGGTACACACCTCTTGGTGAGTGCTCAGGTACACACCTCTTGGTGAGTGCTCAGGTACACACCTCTTGGTGAGTGCTCAGGTACACACCTCTTGGTGAGTGCTCCGGTACACTCCTCTTGGTGACCTCTGTCATGTTGTTGACAATGTTGAGGTTAAACCCATTTACATCAACAGATAACGAGTGAAGGGAAGATGGCGACCTTTCTACATCTACGAGGAGCCATGGCGCAGGGTAGAGTGTTGCGTCAGACCAGTAGCGTGTTCCGGCCGGGGCAGCAGCTTGCACAGATGCACCGGTCAACACCTGTGATGGTCCTCTCAACACCTGCTACCGGTACTCGCCTCGACTCCATCCCGTACGTTATTAATATCATTTATCATATAACTATAAACTAAGTCATTTTGTAAGAACTTTATATATTTATATTAAAAATATATATAAACATATGTATATTTTATATAAAATTATGTTTAGTAACAAAAGATTAGCGTAATTTATTATTTACTGTTTTATTATTTTTTATTATTTATTTACTTATATAAAAAAGATGTATTGCTAATTATTATTTGTGAAATGTTGCTATGTCATAGATGATGATTGTGATCCTGGACACTGGTTGTGTCTCCAGGTACACAACCAGGCAAGGTACACAACCAGGCAAGGTACACAACCAGGCAAGGTACACAACCAGGCAAGGTACACAACCAGGCAAGGTACACAACCAGGCAAGGTACACAACCAGGCAAGGTACACAACCAGGCAAGGTACACAACCAGGCAAGGTACACAACCAGGCAAGGTACACAACCAGGCAAGGTGCACAACCAGGCAAGGTACACAACCAGGCAAGGTACACAACCAGGCAAGGTACACAACCAGGCAAGGTACACAACCAGGCAAGGTACACAACCAGGCAAGGTACACAACCAGGCAAGGTACACAACCAGGCAAGGTACACAACCAGGCAAGGTACAACACAACCAGGCAAGGTACACAACCAGGCAAGGTACACAACCAGGCAAGGTACAACACAACCAGGCAAGGTACACAACCAGGCAAGGTACACAACCAGGCAAGGTACACAACCAGGCAAGGTACAACACAACCAGGCAAGGTACAACACACACAGGCAAGGTACACAACCAGGCAAGATACACAACCAGGCAAGGTACAACACAACCAGGCAAGGTACAACACAACCAGGCAAGGTACACAACCAGGCAAGGTACACAACCAGGCAAGGTACACAACCAGGCAAGGTACACAACCAGGCAAGGTACAACACAACCAGGCAAGGTACACAACCAGGCAAGGTACACAACCAGGCAAGGTACACAACCAGGCAAGGTACACAACCAGGCAAGGTACACAACCAGGCAAGGTACACAACCAGGCAAGGTACAACACAACCAGGCAAGGTACAACACAACCAGGCAAGGTACACAACCAGGCAAGGTACACAACCAGGCAAGGTACACAACCAGGCAAGGTACAACACAACCAGGCAAGGTACACAACCAGGCAAGGTACAACACAACCAGGCAAGGTACACAACCAGGCAAGGTACACAACCAGGCAAGGTACACAACCAGGCAAGGTACAACACAACCAGGCAAGGTACAACACAACCAGGCAAGGTACACAACCAGGCAAGGTACACAACCAGGCAAGGTACACAACCAGGCAAGGTACAACACAACCAGGCAAGGTACACAACCAGGCAAGGTACACAACCAGGCAAGGTACACAACCAGGCAAGGTACACAACCAGGCAAGGTACACAACCAGGCAAGGTACACAACCAGGCAAGGTACACAACCAGGCAAGGTACACAACCAGGCGAGGTACACAACCAGGCAAGGTACACAACCAGGCGAGGTACAACACAACCAGGCAAGGTACACAACCAGGCGAGGTACACAACCAGGCGAGGTACAACACAACCAGGCAAGGTACACAACCAGGCGAGGTACACAACCAGGCAAGGTACACAACCAGGCAAGGTACACAACCAGGCGAGGTACAACACAACCAGGCAAGGTACACAACCAGGCGAGGTACACAACCAGGCAAGGTACACAACCAGGCAAGGTACACAACCAGGCAAGGTACACAACCAGGCAAGGTACACAACCAGGCGAGGTACAACACAACCAGGCAAGGTACACAACCAGGCGAGGTACACAACCAGGCAAGGTACACAACCAGGCAAGGTACAACACAACCAGGCAAGGTACAACACAACCAGGCGAGGTACACAACCAGGCGAGGTACACAACCAGGCAAGGTACACAACCAGGAAAGGTACACAACCAGGCAAGGTACACAACCAGGCAAGGTACAACACAACCAGGCAAGGTACAACACAACCAGGCAAGGTACAACACAACCAGGCAAGGTACACAACCAGGCAAGGTACACCACAACCAGGCAAGGTACACAACCAGGCAAGGTACAACACAACCAGGCAAGGTACACAACCAGGCAAGGTACAACACAACCAGGCAAGGTACAACACAACCAGGCAAGGTACACAACCAGGCAAGGTACACAACCAGGCAAGGTACACAACCAGGCAAGGTACAACACAACCAGGCAAGGTACAACACAACCAGGCAAGGTACAACACAACCAGGCAAGGTACACAACCAGGCAAGGTACACAACCAGGCAAGGTACACAACCAGGCAAGGTACAACACAACCAGGCAAGGTACACAACCAGGCAAGGTACACAACCAGGCAAGGTACACAACCAGGCAAGGTACAACACAACCAGGCAAGGTACACAACCAGGCAAGGTACACAACCAGGCAAGGTACACAACCAGGCAAGGTACACAACCAGGCAAGGTACACAACCAGGCAAGGTACACAACCAGGCAAGGTACACAACCAGGCAAGGTACACAACCAGGCGAGGTACAACACAACCAGGCAAGGTACACAACCAGGCGAGGTACACAACCAGGCAAGGTACACAACCAGGCAAGGTACAACACAACCAGGCAAGGTACAACACAACCAGGCGAGGTACACAACCAGGCGAGGTACACAACCAGGCAAGGTACACAACCAGGAAAGGTACACAACCAGGCAAGGTACACAACCAGGCAAGGTACAACACAACCAGGCAAGGTACAACACAACCAGGCAAGGTACAACACAACCAGGCAAGGTACACAACCAGGCAAGGTACACCACAACCAGGCAAGGTACACAACCAGGCAAGGTACAACACAACCAGGCAAGGTACAACACAACCAGGCAAGGTACACAACCAGGCAAGGTACACAACCAGGCAAGGTACAACACAACCAGGCAAGGTACAACACAACCAGGCAAGGTACACAACCAGGCAAGGTACACAACCAGGCAAGGTACACAACCAGGCAAGGTACAACACAACCAGGCAAGGTACAACACAACCAGGCAAGGTACACAACCAGGCAAGGTACACAACCAGGCAAGGTACAACACAACCAGGCAAGGTACAACACAACCAGGCAAGGTACACAACCAGGCAAGGTACACAACCAGGCAAGGTACACAACCAGGCAAGGTACAACACAACCAGGCAAGGTACACAACCAGGCAAGGTACACAACCAGGCAAGGTACACAACCAGGCAAGGTACACAACCAGGCAAGGTACACAACCAGGCAAGGTACAACACAACCAGGATGACAACCAAGGTTGTTATCCCTACTGTCCGATGACATTAACAGTTAGTTTTAGTTTTCCCTATAAATTTCAATCGTTCTGTTTTCAATGACTGCATATTTAATCCCATTTTCAATGATTGAGTATTAATTTCCATTTTCAATGATTGCATATTTATTTCCATTTTCAAATCTTTACACAAAGAAATCACAATAGCGTGATGCATCAAATGGACAAATCTACAAGGGCCATCATTTGTTCATTTGATGCATCACGCTATTGTGATTCTGTATGTAATGAAGTGAGGGTGAAGAGGTAGAACGGCCTATTGACATAGCTCGAGTGCAGGGGGGAGTTGTGTAAACCCTGGTTTGTGTCTCGGAGAGGCTGCAGGATCCAGTAAGTTCAGTAGAACTTCGGTTTCAACTCTTTTTGACCATGTCGTAGCTCAGTCGATTAAGGCATCGTCTGGGATGCTCCCGAACGTAGGTTCGAATCCTCGTCACGGCCCTTGTGGATTTGTTCATTTTCAAATCTTGTTTATTTCTGCCAAATAGCTAGTTAAAGATTATTTATTGAGTATAAAAATGAATGAAGAATCAATCAGGGCTCACTGAGGGGAGAGAGAGAGGAGAACTCATAACCTGGAGGTCAGAGTAGGAGGTAGAGAAGACCTCAGAGGTAGAAAGGAGAGCTGGAGGTTACAGAGAGGTCAAGAGAGAACATTTCAAAATCTGAGTAAAATATGAACAAAATATGGCTGTCTTTGTCACTGGAAGAGTGTGCCCGGTTCTTGTTATCATATGTTATCTATATGTACATTTGGTGGTATTAAGGCTATTAATAAGATTATGCTACCCAAGGTCACAGCCTAACAAGTTTTCGTCTTATGTTCCATGTATGTTTAAGAATGTAAGAATGTTACCAGACTTTAATTACCATATATTTTGAATGTTAAAACTGGTTCTCCTTGCCTTAGAAATAACTTTTTTAAGATTTTTTTTCAATAAGGGTGATAATCTTTCTATGTTTGATAAGACCTTAGCCCAACCACTTGAGGTGGACGGTAGAGCGACGATCTCGCTTCTTGCAGGTCGGCGTTCAATCCCCGACCGTCCAAGTTTCTTGGCACCATTCCTTCCCTCCGTCCCATCCCAAATCCCGACCTCTCCCCAGTGCTATATAGTTGTAATGACTCCTGATAGTTCCTTCCTTGATAAGAGCTGAGATAAGAGTCAAGAACGACGTGTTCCCACAGACGTGAGAGTCCCGAGGTCACTTGGTTCCACCCAGGCGACTACAGAGTCGCGCCCATGATAGAAAACAACAAGCGAGGAGACATGATCATTGGCCTCACCCTGGTCTTCAACTCTGACAAGCCATTGGACCAGGAACTGGTTTATGAAGCTCTTACACACTTGTACAAGTAAGCTTTCCGTAATGTGTATGTATATATATATATAAAGGGTACCACCTTTGTTGCAATTGTAGGAGGGTTCATAGCCTCGAAGAAGAGAATATAAGGTATTCAGGGAAGACCTTGTAGATTCTCCTTGAACCCTGAGTATTTTCATCTCCTATCACTCCTAATTTTTTTATTATTTTATATAATAAGATTTATTTATTTTATTACATTGTGTTACGATTTACAGAAAACACACATATATGGAAATCACTGTTCGAAGACCTCTTCCACCTCTTAGAGTTAGAGTTAGATTTTTGTATTCAGGTAAAGGTACATCCATTGAGTTACAAACATAATGTTGGATTTAAAGAAAGAGGTCGTACATATAATACCTAAAGCCACTAGTACGTATAGCGTTTACGGCAAGGTGAGGTGGGGAAATTTTTTTTAGACTAAAACTTAATAGTAATTCAGCTTAAAGTATAAATTGTGTTGAAAAAATAAAAAATAAAATAAGGGAGGAACAAGGGAGAGAATAGCAATTATACAAGTTGGTCAACAAACAGCATTGATTACAATAATAATACATGGGTTGACATTTAGGGGTAAGGTGGGTTACATGGAGTTTATTAGGTAGTATTTAGTTTTATTGTTGACCTCTAACTCCCCCTTGCCACTTCGGGGGGGGGGGGGGGGTATAGGGTGATTATGTAGCTTCAGGGCACCAATCCCCCAGCCACAGAGCGAGAAGGCGCCCCTAAGCTTAAACTGGTTGAGAGAGGTACAGTCTTTAACATGGTTGGGAAGGTCATTCCACATTCTGGGTCCCTGGATTTGTAGAGCATTTCTAGTTTGGTTAAGTCGTACTCTTGGAATATCAAATAGGTATTTGTTCCTGGTGTGATGCTCATGAGTTCTGTTACAACCTTCTAAGAAGCTTTTAATTTCATGATTCACATTACGGTTCAGAGTTTTAAATATATAGAGTACACATGAGAGAATGTGCAGTGACTTAATATCTAACATATTCAGAGATTTGAGTAGGGGTACCGAGTGATGTCTGGGGCCAGAGTTGGATATTGTCCTAATAGCAGCTTTGTGTTGAGTAATTAGAGGACGTGAATGATTTTGGGTAGTAGAACCCCAAGCACAAATACCATAGTTGAGATATGGATAGATGAGGGAGTAATAGAGAGTCACCAGGGCAGGGCGAGGTACTCGCCTGCGTATCTGTGGTACGCAGGCGATGAGTCACAATAACGTGGCTGAAGTATGTTGACCAGACCACACACTAGAAGGTGAAGGGACGACCACATTTCGTCGTCGTTTCTTCTGTCATGTGAGGGATTCTAATCATCCCATTGATTGGTCTTCCTCCAAAATAATCTTTCCTGCCTCTACTCTACACAGACGCCGTCTTGCTGAATCGGCTCTAATACACAATGTACCCAACATGAACTTGAGTCCTGGCTTTGTTGCTGTGGACTCTTCCCTTTCACAGTATATACTCAAATGCTCTAATCTTTCTAACAAACGTGACCTAACATAAGCTTACCCTTCCATTTATCTTTCTTTCTTTCTATTTCCTTTTCTTTCTCTCTTTTTCTGTTCATTGTTTTCTTTACGTTCCCTTACTATCCTCTTCTTATTCCTATTACTATTTCCTTCACATTCAGTGGTTATAATGGGAGCTGCCTCGTATGGGCCAATAGGCCCTCTGCAGTTCTTATTCCTTCTACTATCCCCTCTACTACACTTTGCTCCTCACCTCTCTCTAACCTATTTATTGCCTGCATCTACTTCCTCATCACGACCCATCTGGTCACCACTTGGTCCGGGAGACATCTCCCGTCACGCAGGGTGCAGTTGCGCCTCCACAGATCTCACGTATCATCTATTGATACTGGTGATGGCTCAAAAGGGCCACCACTTACGAGCTATTCATGCCCGTGCCACCTTTTGGGTGGCTTAATCTTCATCAATCAATCAATCTTCCTCATCACACACACGGGATGCATCTCCCGTCACGCAGGGTGCAGTCGCACCTCCACAGATCTCAAGTATCAGCTCTTGATACTGGTAATGGCTGAAAAGGGCCACCACTTACGGGCTATTCATGCCCGTGCCACCTCTTGGGTGGCTTAATCTTCATCAATCAATCAATCTTCCTCATCACACACACGGGATGCATCTCCCGTCACGCAGGGTGCAGTCGCACCTCCACAGATCTCAAGTATCAGCTCTTGATACTGGTAATGGCTGAAAAGGGCCACCACTTACGGGCTATTCATGCCCGTGCCACCTCTTGGGTGGCTTAATCTTCATCAATCAATCAATTCCTCATCACGACCCATCTGGTCACCACTTGGTCCGGGAGACATCTCCCGTCACGCAGGGTGCAGTCGCACCTCCACAGATCTCCAGTATCATCTATTGATACTGGTGATGGCTCAAAAGGGCCACCACTTACGAGCTATTCATGCCCGTGCCACCTTTTGGGTGGCTTAATCTTTATCAATCATTAATCTTCCTCATTACAATCGACTTGAGAATGGTCCAGGACGGACGAGAAACGTCGTCGTCCCCTCACCTTCTAGTGTGTGGTCTGGTCAACATATGTGTTAATAACTTGAACCATGGGTTATCAGCGTAGCGCTTGAAGTCGGAACAAGGGGCGGCAGCTCGTTTAAGGTGCTCCATGTGGTTATGTAATTGTTGCATGGCCCGTGTGGGAGACACCCATGATGACGTCGCTCCACTCAGCTGAGATGGTGTGTTCCTGTTGCCGAGGGGAGGGTCTTAAATCCTCCCCGGCCAGTTTACGAACCCATGACAAAGCGCTCGCGTAACGCCAGGCGAGTGTCTTACCACTACACCACGGACTTTTTCATTTATTTATTGTATTTATTCATTACAAACGTATTGTCAGAAAGCTTGGGGTAATTAGACGGACCCAGTATGCCTGGCTGGTTGGGTTATTCCTCATAGGTGTGCTATCTTTATTTATAGCATATTATCGTAAGTGCTTCTCTTTATCTAGATGTCTTAACTATTTTCCCTCTGGAGTGTTCTCAGCGCTTATCTGGACGATCTTATTTACTATCTTGATTGTTGATACGGGTTTTCCCAAATTCTAAGCATGACTCAAACTTGCGACAGATAGTGTGTGTCCTTGGGCACTTTGACACTAGCTCTCCACATATGTCAGTTCCTTAATTTAGAACCTGTACTTGAGGTCGATCTTGAACCCATCTTGAGTTTATCTTGAGATGATTTCGGGGCTTTTAGTGTCTCCGCGGCCCGGTCCTCGACCAGGCCTCCACCCCCAGGAAGCAGCCCGTGACAGCTGACTAACACCCAGGTACCTATTTTACTGCTAGGTAACAGGGGCATAGAGTGAAAGAAACTCTGCCCATTGTTTCTCGCCGGCGCCTGGGATCGAACCCAGGACCACAGGATCACAAGTCCAGCGTGCTGTCCGCTCGGCCGATTGTTGATGTAATAATAATAATAATAATAATAATAATAATAATAATAATAATAATAATTTTATTTAGGTAAGGTACATACATAAAGAGATTTTACAATGTTTGTTGGCTTTATAGGTAGAGCTAGTACATACAATGCCTAAAGCCACTATTACGCAAAGCGTTTCGGATGTGACGACTTATATTGAATTTTGTAACTAGCTCATCACGATTTATCTTGCCCGAAACGCATCGCGTAATAGTGGCTTTAGGCATTGTATGTACTAGCTCTATCTATATATCAATCCATTAATGTATCATCACTTGTATGTATATACCTTACCTGAATAAACATATTTATTTATTTATTTATTTATTTATTTATATATATACAAGAAGGTACATTGGGTTTGTGAGAATACATTGGATAGTACAGTATTTACATTCTTGTAAAGCCACTAGTACGCGCAGCGTTTCGGGCAGGTCCTTAATCTAGCAGATAATTTTAATAGGTAATTTCTATCAGAATTGATAAATGATAAAGATACATTGCAAGAGAAAAATGAGATGAGAGAGATAAGTAGGTATATTAAAGCACATTGTTATATTAAAGCTCTGATTAATTACAATGACAGCTTGATTAGTAATTTAAAACAAGATTAATAGACACCATACAGCAGATTGACGATTGTAACTTGCTTAGCTAAATGAATTGTGGGGTTCAGTCCCTGAGCCCATTATGTGCCTCTGTAACCCTTTCCACTACCGCCCACAAGATGGGTATGGGGTGCATAATAAATGAACTAAACTTGGACATCAGGCATGGCATCAAGTTCAATATAAATTCAAATTCAAATTTTTATTCGGGTAAAAGTACATATATAGAAGATGAGTTAGTTTAGTTCATTTATTATGCCCCCCATACCCATCTTGTGGGCGGTAGTGGAAATTAAGGGTTACAGAGGCACATAATGGGCTCAGGGACTGAACCCCACAATTCATTTAGCTAAGCAAGTTACAATCTTGATGAGCTAGTTACAAAATTCAGTATAAGTCGTCACATCAACAATGGGTTCGAGATCGACACAAACATAATGTTGGATTTATTGATAGAGGAAATACATACAATACCTAAAGCCACTAGTACGCATAGCCTTTCGGGCAAGGTGTTGGAAAAAAACACTTAGATTAAAACTTAATAATAAATGAGATTAAAGTATAAATTGTGTTGAAAAAAAGGAGTAAAAAAAGGGGGGGAGGACATGGCAGAAATCAGCAATTGTACAAGTTGGTCAACAAACAGCATTGTTTAAAATAGCAAGACATGGGTTGACATTTAGGGGGTGAAGTAGGTTACATGGAGTTTAGTACTGCTTAGTTTTACTCTTAAACTGGTTACTATCATTTGTTCCCCATCCACCCTTGTCCGCGTGGGAATTACTTTGTGGATAGGAATAGTGCTAAGCTCTTGGGTTTGATCTCTGACGCCTCCTTAATTGTACGTCAAAGCTAAACAATGGCTTTCTTTTATATTCATAGACTTTATTCTCGACCCTTCGCTTGGACACTTTGCATTATATAGGATTTTGCCGCAGTTCTGGTCGCTTTTGTTATATCTCGAAATAAATTTTCCATCACTACACAATCATCATGATTTGTATGACTTTCATTAGTTTACAGTGTCCATACAACACCGCCATTTCATCTTATAAAATAATAAATAAATAAATAGATGTTTATTTATGTAAGGTACATACATACAAGAGTTTTTACAAAGTTTGTTGGATTAATAGATAGAGGTAGTACATACATATTTACAGCTAGTACATCTTCTTTACTCTCTTGCAATGCAAGATTGGCCTGTTTGGAGAGCTCTCTCTTCGGACATGTCTACGATGTATTTCCTCCTGGTGATCCTACCGTGGCCTCGTCTAGGGGCCAAGGTAGGATAACCTTGGTAGGAAAACTTTGTGAAGTTTTGTAAAGCAATGACCCACACAATGAAACATTTTACTCCACGACCTCTCCGACTGTCATGAAAAGCTTTTCTTTGAAAGACTGACAGACGATTTATTTTTCATATACTGTATTTTTTTCTTACCTCGCACACTTAAAAAAATACTTCACTTTCCAGGACACATACAAAATATCACCTGGACACATGCATCAAATAAGTTTCATCAGTCATTAACGCTTCTTACTGGATATAAATAATAATAATATATAAATGTTTATTCAGGTAAGGTACATACATACAAGAGGTTTTACAAAAATTGATGGATTTATAGTTAGGGCTAGTAAATACAATGCCTAAAGCCACTATTACGCAAAGCGTTTCGGACAGGAAAAACATTAAAGACTAAAACATAATATTATCCTTTTTAGCTGTCTGAAGATTTGATGAACTGAAACCAATTAATAATCTTTTGTTGTTTTCAGCAAGACGAAGGCGCTGAGGACCTGCCTACGTCAGCATGACAACCGCTGGTGGTACTGTCATATGCCTAAACCTGTTATTGACCTTAAGGTGATTATTGCTCATGTTTATATTCCAGTTAATTCTCCTGTTTACCTAATACTTATATAGTAACGATGACGACCATAGTACATATATATGTCGCAATGCACAATTAGTTACTTTAGTTCATTAATTATGCACCCCATACCCATCTTGTGGGCGGTAGATGAAAGGATTACAGAGGCACATAATGGGCTCAGGGACTGAACCCCACAATTCATTTAGTTAAGCAAGTTACAATCTTGATGAGCTAGTTACAAAATTCAGTATAAGTCGTCACATCAACAATGGGTTCGAGATCGACCTCAAGTACAGGTTCTAAATTAAGCAACTGACATATGTGGAGAGCTAGTGTCACAATTGATATGTTTGTCCTGCACACCGCCCCCCATCCAGTGGGCAGCGGTGGATAGGTTACACCGCCCCCCATCCAGTGGGCAGCGGTGGATAGGTTACACCGCCCCCCATCCAGTGGGCAGCGGTGGATAGGTTACACCGCCCCCCATCCAGTGGGCAGCGGTGGATAGGTTACACCGCCCCCCATCCAGTGGGCAGCGGTGGATAGGTTACACCGCCCCCCATCCAGTGGGCAGCGGTGGATAGGTTACACCGCCCCCCATCCAGTGGGCAGCGGTGGATAGGTTACAATCACTTAGTTACTACCTACAGTTAGCAAACTGGGGATATATGGCTAAAATTTCTGGTAGCAGATCATTTTGAATTATATATTTACACATCGTTGAAACATTGGTTTTAAATTTGTCTCTAAATTCACGTATCTTTTCGCACTCCATCACATAGTGACGGAGGGTGTGCGAATAATTTTGCTGACACAGTTTACATTTGGTCAGTGACACAAAGATTGTCATAATGGAGCAGCCTACCCGACAAACGCTGAACGAACCTTTGTGACATTTGTCCGTTTTTCAATTTTTTTCAACTGTTTTTTTATTTTATTTGTTTTTATTTAAGAAACATGGAGCAGCCTACCTGCCGAACACGGAACGAACTTTTTTGACATTTGTTCCGTTTTTCAAAATTCTTCATTTTTTTCATTTTTTCTAAAGAAACATGGAGAACTACCTGCCGAACACCGAACAAACCTATTTGACATTTGTTCTTTCTTAAAAAAATCGTTTTTCTACAAAAAAGTCAATGCCTCTTAACATCTTAGCATCAATAGCATCTCTAAACAAAAAAAATAATTTATTTGCATCGTCGGAGGCGACGGAGAATGTGCGAGAAGCCCCCCCACCCCCCGACCCCACCATGTGGTGGTGACCTTATTCAAACGAGCGGTCGCCTAACGAGACGAATTGTCGGCGATCGGAGCGTTCGTTACCCAAAATGGTCACCACTTGAGGCAGTCGTTACTCGTTCTATTGTTTGTATGTATGTATGTATATGTTGTTGAATATGACCGAAAGGGTAAGATTAATGATTGAACATGAATCTTTTCAATATTTCTTATGTTTTTCTTCACTATTGAGGGTAGTTGAAAAATCAACTCTCCAAAGTTCATATTCACACTTACTTTATTTTTGGTATTACGCCTAGAAGCGTTTCGCAAGACACTTCTTTCATTCTCAAAGACAATTTTACATACTCCGTTAATGCTTACATTCGTTTTTGGGGTAAGGTGATAGGACATGAATCAATGAATACACAGAACCAAGAAAATAAAACATGCTGTGTTGTTGGACCAAGTGACCCCAACCAGTTCAGGGTCACTTGGTCAAAAGAATTGCAACCTGGAGTGCTACTGCCCTCATTAGGATCCCGAAGCTTCCCCCAGGACCAATCGGGGTTTCACACAATTCCCCCCATGCACCCAGGCTCCGTCAGCCAGAGCCCGCAGGTGTGTACTAGAAGTAGAACATCTGGTTGACAGTGCCTGGGGAAATTGTGTGAAACCTGGATTGGGCCTGGGAGAAGCTTCGGGATCTTAGTGAAGGTAGTAGCACTTCAGGTTGCAACTCTTTTTGACCATGTCATGGTACAGTTAACTAAGGTACATCTGGGAACATCCCGTGCATAGGTTCAAACCCTTATCATGGCCCTTATGGATTTGTTCATTATTATGATTTTCGTCCTTCAGGTTGTGGAAGCTGGAACAAATGCATATAAGAAAACAGAAGAACTTGTGAAGACTCCCTTCAACTTGGCTGATGGACCTTTGTGGAAGGTCCGGCTTGTCCCAAGCCCTGTAGACGCTCCCTGTCTCTGGCCGGAGGTGAAAGAGAAGTTTCCCTATCAGAATTCATTGCTGCTTAGTTTACATCACGCGTTGTTTGACGGTTTTGATATGGTGGTGCTCATTACGATGTTGCACAAGTTTCTTGATGATGTTATGAGCGGAAAGCCAATTGATGATAAGAAGATTGGTCACCTTTTAGACCACAGTCAGACATATGAAACTACACAACGAGTAAAAGAGAATCTTGAAAATAATCCACAGAAGTTGAATTCCTTACTTAATGACAGGAAGAGTAAAGAATTCAAACCTCTCATTATGCAGGCATTTGGAGCTCCTGAGCCGTCTTCCGTAAGAACAGAATACTTCAAAGGTGCAATACTAAACCTTTCCCTGCTTCAAAATTTCCATAAGAAGTGTCACTCTGAAGGCATCACCCTGAACTCTGGGCTTGTGAGTGTAATAAACACGGCCTTGGTAGAACTGGTGAGGGAGGGCGGGCTGGTGCAGGACGAGTATACAGTCACCAGTCTTCACCCTACTGACCTCCGCCGCTACATGACAACTGACGTCAAAACTCTCCCCATGGGCTTCCATGTGGCCCCAATGTCTCAGACTATGCCAACCCCATACAATGTAAGAGATCATTTTTGGAAGTACGCAAAACAATTTGATATTGAATTCAAGAAAAATTTAGAGAATAAATTTGTATTTGAAGAGTTGATCTTGAACGGAATGATCAAACCTAATGACAAAAATTTATTGCCTATAAAATATGACTATTTGTTTACAAATATATATTCGCCAAAATATCCAAATATGGGAGTAGGCAGACATGTTCAACTTACAGAAATGAGAAATATTGTCCCCATTGACACTTCGACTGTTGGCTACGCATGTGGCTTAGCCAGTCTTCGGGACAAGGTTCGATACGAGCACTGGTATTCAACACGTGCCATGACCAGAGAAATAGCACAAAGGCAATTTGAAAAGTTATTATCAATTTTCCGTGAAATGGCCCAGTAATATCTTCACTTGGGAATTGGATGATGGGCAACTGTGTTTACTGAACCAACATACTACTTACAACCCTTCAATTAAGTTGAATTAATAATTAAGGGAACGAACGAAGGTGAAATGAATAAATAGTGACGACACCGATGAACAGGGGACGAGAAGAACGAGCGGATGTAAAGTGAATGAAAGATGAAATGAACAAACGAAATGACATAAATGAACGAAGATGAAGTGAAGGAACCTTCACTTCATCTGGAGTGAAGGTTCAATGGAGATGACGTGAACAAACGGAGATGATGTGAACGAATGGAGATGATGCAAATGAAGAGATAAAATAAACAATGATGTGAATTAGCAACTGAAGTGAAAGAATGGAAATTGAACAACCAAATATGTAATGAACAGTGATGAATGTGAACAAATGTAAATAACATGATAGGAACAACAGATGAACAAGGTGTCGCAGTAGCAGGGACCATTTGAAGTGGTTAAGATATAAGGAATAAAAGATGCCTGACAAACCATGTACTTGGAATAGTGTTGATAATCACACAACTGTAAGCAACAAGTGTCGTTCAAACAAGTGCGAACCTCACACTTCACCCAATAAATGGTGACTAGATGACAGACTGTAGAACTTAATATGCAAGTGAATATAGTTTTAAAACTTCCTTACATATATAGCTTGGTGTAATTTTTAATTTTTGGGACATTTCTATATTTTCTAGTAAGGAATGAAAATGACAGAACATAATGCCAACACATACCACATGGTAATAATTAGATTGACTGGGGGCCAAAGATGCCCCGACGAACCAATATGTTGTACAAAGTGACTCGTTCAACTTGTGAGCAAGTCCTTTGGGTTTCCTGTAATCTCATAAGTTGATGATATGAATAATCTATCTTTACATAAATGATTTATTCTCAACTATTAGTTTTAAGGTTGAATATATATGAACCATAATAGTTAGATAACGGAATAGACATTGAGTCGTAATATTGAATCAAGTAATTGCCAAAAGAAGGCATCAAGCTGAGGCTAATCATACATGGAATCAGGGGAGGAAACGACCACTCTCAATACAAAAACAAATCCTGTGAGATGGGAATGTTGGATAAATTTAAAGGTAGTTATTTAGTCCGAATTGGTTTGTTTTTGTATTGAGGCTGGTATTTTCTCCCCCCGATACCATGCATGACTAACTATCCAGTGAGATGGGAATATTAGATGAACTTATTAGCTAGTTTTTTCATCTACACTGTGTAATCTTTCATATAGAATAGGGTAGCAGCACATTGCTGTGTATACCTAAGCTTAATAAAAAAATATATAATCAAGCCGAGGAGGCAATGTAACACCAGCAGTATTGCTGGATATTCAAAGGCGCTAAATATCACTGTGGATGCCAATATGAGAACAAAAGCACATAAAGCGAGAGATATCATATGAATCCGATTCACCAAAGATTCTATTGAGGAACAAATGACCTCGAGGGAGATTTGGAAAGCAAGATGTGCAATCATCCTGAAAATTGGGACATTCTACACAGAGATGCACGACTGTAAATCAAACAATGCAGTTTGGACAATAAGGAGCAGGATTGACACAGGTGTAGGTTAGACAAATGCTTGAGTTGTCTCATTGGCTAATAGATCTTCTGAAGCTGCCTTTGTTATGTTCTTGTTATCTATAAGAACAATTTTATATATAAGTTGTGTACTTATACTTAAGATAATTGCAATCTTCCCTTCAATTTATGATCATATACTAACAAAGCTTTACTTAAAATATTATATTAATGTTTGAATTGTCCATTAACTAAATTTTTCCAAACTTAACCAGAATATTATACTGCATAATAATATAATCTTGTATCATGATTATCTATAATAAAATTATTCACAACAGCAATAGTTTTTGCATATACCGTTAATATTCCTGTGTTGTTCTATGAATAATGGTTTGTATCAAACCATCAATGTCATTCATTTGAGAATGTGAGTGAATGTAAGGGATGAAATCGACACACGGCGATAACATTTAATTAATAATATATTTCTCATCTGGGCTATTAATCTGTTAATCAACTTGGTAGATAGTGTCACTCAACTTGACCTTGCCAGTATCACATCAGCCAAGAACTGCAGAGGGAGGGGGGGGGGAGGGAAAAGGGCCGGTGCGAGGTTTTTTTTGGCTCCCCCCTTCCCTGGGGATGTGCAGACAGCAGCGCGGCCATTTTTTTTTTTTTTTTGAGATATATACAAAAGTTGTTACATTCTTGTACAGCCACTAGTACGCGTAGCGTTTCGGGCAGGTCCCTGGAATACGATCCCCGCCGCGAAGAATCGTTGTTACAACCAAATACCCATTTTACTGTTGAGTTAAACAGAGGCTACAGTTAAGGATTTGCGCCCAGTAAATCCTCCCCGGCCAGGATACGAACCCACGACAAAGCGCTCGCGGAATGCCTGGCAAGTGTCTTACCACTACACCATGGAGACTGGTATTGATGACGTCATATTAGTTTGCTAATTTTTATTTGGGGAGTTCTGTCCACTCATTCAGCTTTCAGTAGCAATATTTTCACCAGAATAGAGGGTTTGTTTTGGGGCGCCTACCTATCTGAGTGCCTAACCTGGTCGATGGCAGACACAGAATGCTTCCAACTACACGGGAGATTCTATAGGCCATTGCTCCTCGTGCCTCTCTGAGGGGGCCAGGTTTTAGCTCATGGTCCCCAGTAAGCCTGAACTCCATGCACTTTGATGCCAGAAAGCTAATATACAGAATCCATATCAGCCTGGATAGCTCCGGGAGCCTCTGGGTCACACCCAGAAAAAGCGTTTCATTACATTCAACGCTGGTTTTTTCTAGGGGAAACCCCGTCAGCTCCCCGGAGCTATCCCAGGCTGATATGCTAATGTCAGACTTTAGCATCAGTCATGTGTATGGAGTTCTTAGGCCTACCGGGGACCACAGCCAGAACCTGGCCCCCTCAGAGAGGCAAGGGGAGCAATGGCCTATAGTAACCCCCGTGTCTGCCATCGACCGGATCAGGCACCCAGAAAGGTAAGTGCCCCAAAACAAACCTCTATTCTGGTTCAAATTGCTACCAAAAGCCGAACTAGTGGATAGAACTCCCAAACAGAAAACGAGCAAACTAGTATGATGTCACACGTCACCGCTCCGCTGTCTGCACAGCTCCCCCCTCCCCGGGAGGGGGGAGGGGGAGCCCCAGACCCTTCACGCCAGCTACCCACACCTCAGTTCTGAGGCTGGATGTCAAAAACCCGAAAAAAACGCCGACTGGAGGAAGGGAGGGATGCCGGGGAGCCTCCGGGACTCACCCAGAAAATGGAGTTTCATTACAGTACATTCAACGCTGGTTTTCTGGGGGGAGCCCTGTCGGCTCCCCTGAGCTAACTACCCACAGACGGAAAAAGAGGGACATGCCTGGGAGGCGGTCATTGCTCACTCTTCAACTCGAAGTCGAGACAACTGACTGCAACCGCCGACCCAAAGGAACATAGGCCCAACGGGGCCCAGGGACATTCACAAGGTAACGAGCAACCAGGACCCTGTCCGACCGCCAAAAACCCCGCTCCCGAATATCAGACCAAGACATGTTCCCAAAGACAGCAGCAAGAGCCGCGAACTCACGGACGTCATGGGCACGGGGATAGACCGCAGGCTGGCTGGATTTGATAACCCTGCGGACGACCTGGGAGACCTGAACATGCGAACAGGGAAGAAGGGAAGTCAGATCAATTCAAAGCGCGTCCCAGGACACAGAAGCCATGGCACGCATATAATGGCGAAGCGCCACAACCAGACACAAAGCATGATGCACCCCGGGCCATACCAACCAAGCATCAACCACCCACGGACCCCTCCGGAATGCAGCAGTCTCATTCTTCGCCAGAAAAGGAGACGGCTGCAGGTGAACAAAACAATTGCCAGGACTGAAAGAGCAGAAACCCCTGCGCCGGAGGAGAGCATGAAGCTCCCTGACCCTTCCTATTGCCAATAGGAAAAGAGCCTTGGAGAAACAATTCTGGACTGAAGGGGCCACGACGAAACAAGGAGATGAAAGGTAAGTGAGCACTCTGTCCAAAAACCAAGATGGCTCAGGTGGCACATGAGCAGGCCGGAGGTGAAACAAAGCACGAGACAGCTTGCGAAATGGCAGAGACGTAACATCGATACCGAAGGCAAGCTAAAGCTGCTCCGCCAGCGCCGCATGATATGAGGCGACAGTGTTAGACATAAGATGACGGTCCTGAAACAACCAAGAGAGAAAGGACAAGACCACCCTAACCGACAGTGAACCAAAACGACGAAGACGCAAAAAGAAACAGAAGGACCGCCAGGAAACTTCATACTGCCGCCGAGAAGAAGCCCCCAGGTGGGACACCAACAAAGAAGCCACCTGATCACCATAGAGATGATGATAGACTCGAGTTAAAAAAACATACACAAAGACTCCAGGAGAAGATCGAACCAGCCACGTGACGTACCGGACCGATTTGCTGATAGAGGCGGAGCCGCAGGAAAACCCTCGGGTTGGAACACTGACCAAGCAGCGCCTGAAACCAAGGTGGGCCGGCTACCAAGGGGCCAGAAGGACAACTCTTCCCTGGTAAGTCTCCAGGCAAGTCAGGACCTGGATTTCACTGGGGAAAGAGGTACAGGAACCCCCACCTCGACCAGTCCAGCCGAAAGGCATCGACCCCGATGGCCTTGCGATCGGGGAAGGGGCGCCGCATAAACGGGAAGGCGCCTCGACCATGCCAACGCGAAGAGATCCACCTCGGGATGCCCGAACGTCTGGCAAAGCCAACGGAAGGAAGCGTCGTCGACCATCCACTCTGTGGAGAGGGGAGCGAAGCGAGACAGGATGTCGGCCAAGACGTTGGACACTCCCTGTACGTGAACCACCAGGAGAGCCAAACCCCGAGAACTCAGCAGACGAGTCACCTGAAGCGACCAACCAGAAAGAGCCAAGGACCGCATCGAACCTCTGCGGTTCAGGCAATGAACCATCGGAGAGCAGTCCGAATGGAGCCGAATCGTCGATCCGTGGGCGACCCGAATCCTCCGAAGAGCAAACCACACAGCCGTGAACTCCCGCACTGTGCTGTGGGCTTGAGGGAAGGATGAACCCCAATGCCCCTGGCCGGCCTGGTGAGCACTGGTCACAAAACCCCAGCCGAGAGACGAAGCATTCGTAAACCCATGTAGGGAGCCGGCCGCTGAGCGGATAGAACACTGGACGCGTGATCCTGTGGTCCCGGGTTCGATCCCGGGCACCGGCGAGAAACAATGGGCAGAGCTTCTTTCACCCTAATGCCCCTGTTACCTAGCAGTAAATAGGTACCTGGGAGTTAGTCAGCTGTCACGGGCTGCTTCCTGGGGGTGGAGGCTTGGTTGAGGACCGGGCCGCAGGGACACTAAAGCCCCGAAATCATCTCAAAATAACCTCAAGATAACCCATCGAGCGAGGGCTCGGGTAGGCGCCAAGGCACTGAACCCCGAAAAATCCGAAGAGAAAACCGGAGATGCAGCAGCCGACGCAAGGCCTCCGGGGGTCGAACCTAGCAATCGCGAGAGGCAGAAGGGACGACCCTGAAGGAACCAGAACAGCTGACGAAGCCAACCCAGCGGGTAGACCAACATCGCGAAGTTTAGGCTCCCGCACAGCCCCTCAAGCAACCGCCAGGTGACCCGAGAGCCCACCAGAAACAGATGAAGGCGGGATCGCAGCCGCAGGAGAGACTTCGGAGGGAGAGACAAGGAAGTGGTCCAAGAGTCCCAAACGAGACCCAGCCAAGTCCGAACCTGAGAGGGAACCAGATGGGACTTCTTCCAGTTCACCAAGAACCCGAACCCGGCGAGCTGGGAAAGAACCAAATCCCTGGCTAGCAAGCAAGCCGACCAGCTGGGAGCCCAAACCATCCAGTCGTTGAGGTAGGCCAACACCCGAACACCTAAGAGACGCAAACGGGCCACCACGACCTGCGTAAGGTGTGAACACGCGAGGTGCCAGGTTCAACCCGAATGTGAGACAGCGAAAGTGGTAACCTTGATGCCCCACAACAAAACCGAGCCAGTCCCGGAACCTCGGATAAATCGGGACATGACAAGCAGACGAAGCAGCCTGGATAAACTGCGCTACGGCAGACGCCTCAAACAAAAGAGGACAAAAAGGCGACGACAATTTAAGAGCCAGAGCCAAAGCAGATTCCATGGAGGAACCCAGCATCGCCTGCCGACACGGGAGCCGGGAAGCATAGAACAGGGAAAGCACATCCTGCAAAATTGACGCGAAAAGCTTCAACAAGGCAGCCGACGAGCGAGCCGCCAAGGACAAGGCGCCAGACCCAGGGACGGACTCAAGTGCCCTCACATCCACCACGAGCCAATCCGAGGACAGCTCCAGGAGGAAAAAAGAACCGCAAGGCCGAAGCCAAAAGGCCCCGGGAGCGCAAGTCCTCTGCAACAAGTGCCGCTGAAAGGGAGGGAACCTGCACATGGAGTTGAACAATGCCAACATCACGTAGAAGGGCAGGGGCAAACAAGCACTCATTTAGGTACTCAAGATCGCCCCCCCCCCCAGGAAAACCTGAACCACAGTGTTAGCTTCTCGCCACTCCAGCATGCGGGAATGACAGAAGGAATGCCAGGCATCCAAAACAAACAAGGGGCAGTCCGCTAGCCAGGAAGACTCCGGAACCTCATAACGGAGCCAGAAAAGGAACGAAATCCCAAACCTGAATTCCGAGGGATCAATCTCCGAGGCATAATCCGGGTTACGCAAGACGTATGCTGCAAGGGCTGCCTGCACCACACCAGATTGGATGCGATAAGCCGAAAACCTCTGAAAAGACGGAACCGACACACCCGGGGG